CAGTTCTTGCTATTCTGTTTGCCACACTGACCTGACAAGGAATTTCAGTCCTGATGAGCTTGGCATGGTTCGTGTCTAGCAAGGGTTTAATATGAGGGGCTAATTAGTCACAGGCAAGGGAAAGTCAAACCGTGTGTGTTTCAGTAAGCTGCTCTTAGCACTGGGCCATAGCAAGGCAGTGTGATATGAGGGGCATTGAGGAGGGAAAACCTTGTCAGCTGCGTGTGTTAATTAAATTCAGGGCAAATTTTATTTTGTTCAAATGTATTTGCTCATTTGCAAACATGTCCCTGACTGATCACGGTATTCCATCAGCTGAGAACTTAGACCCCATTTCAGCAAGGGACTTAAGCATGTTGCCTAGTTTGAGCACACGAGTAGTCTCCTTAACGTCAATGGATTGGGACCTTACTGCTCAGAGACCGAGGTGATGAACATGTTAGAAGTAGAGCTGTCAAGCCAATAAAAAAATTAATCACGATTAATCGTGTGATTAAAGCGATTAATCGTGTGATTAAAGTGATGATAGAATACCATTTATTTCAATATTTTTGGATGTTTTCTACATTTTCAAGTATATTGATTTCAGTTACAACACGGACTAGAAAGTGTACCGTGCTCACTTCATATTTATTTTTGATTATAAATATTTGCACTGTAAAAAAACAAAAGAAATAGTATTTTTTAATTCACCTAATACAAGCAGGGGACCTGAGTTAGTGAACCAGGCAGACCCTTCCAGTCCTATGTTCTTGTCAAACAGTGAGATGTTAGATTGGGTGTGTTTAGTCTGGAGAAGAGAAGACTGAGAGGGGACATGACATAGTTTTCAAGTACATAAAAGGTTGTTACAAGGAGGAGGGACAAAAATTGTTCTTCTGAACCTCTGAGAATAGGAGAAGAAGCAATGGGCTTAAATTGCAGCAAGGGAGGTTTAGGTTGGACATAAGGAAAAGCTTCCTAACTGTCAGGGTGGTTAAGCACTGGAATAAATTGCCCAGGGAGGTGGTGGAATCTCCATCATGGGGGATTTTTTAAGAGCAGGTTAGACAAACACCTGTCAGGGATGGTCTAGATAATACTTAGTCCTGCCTTGAGCGCAGGGGACTGGACTAGATAACCCGTCGAGATCCCTTCCACTCCTATGATTCTATGTTAGGAACAAGAGGTCCTGACTTTACACTTTCTAATATTTAGTTTTAAAGAGGTAGCTTTTATACTACATAAAGGGGAAAGCATTTATGATCTTGTACATCTCCCCTTTAAAAGCATTAAGCTTTAAAATGTATTCTTAATTTCATTGACAGAGCTGCTCAAATACCAAACCCATCCCTGAAATATGTCTTCTCTCCCCCGTATAGTGATTTTGCCTCACATTGGAAGTGCTACCTACGCCACGAGAAGCGCCATGAGCGTGCTGGCTGCTAACAACCTTCTAGCCGGCTTGAAAGGGGAAAGCATGCCAAGTGAACTCCAGCTGTGAAGAGAAGAGAATCCCAAGAACATCGCTGGCTAGGCCAGGTCATACCTTAAAAATGACCATTTTCTCTTAGCCCAGAGAAGCAGAACGGATCCTGACTCATTCCTGCTGTAAAGTTGGTGTATGTGTCTCTGTCGTTCTGCAAGTAGAACTTATTAAACCAGGCTTGAGTAACACACAGTTGTGTGGTGGTGATGTGGAAGCGGGATGTATATTGTGCTATTTCCTAAGAGAAAAACTGAATGCTAGTGCGACTCTGGAGAGCACATAACTGTATGTGGATGGAAACTCAAGAGATCAAAGAAAATCACTCCCTTTCCTGGAACAATTGGGCCCATTTGCACAAGAAGGCAACAATCATAATCAGCTGGGTGACTTTATTCTTTATGGCTTTGATAAAGCAAAAGACTTAATCGTACTTAACGTCAGATGTGCCCCAATGGCCGGCACGTTATGTGTCCGTCCGTCCCCCCCCATGTCTGATCTACAGAGGATATGTGTCTGTTATCGCTCTCAACTAGAGAGCAAAGCTCTGTAGCTCAAGTTGTAGAAACTCCTGATTTTAGCGGTGAGGGTCTCCAGGTTGTCAGTCCAGATGGCAGGTGTCACATCAGCATATGTCAAACACCTCGATAGGGGGGCTACTCAGACATTCGAATCTCTGGATTAACCAACAGGTGGCTGAACACAGAGAAATTCAGAATTTCCAATACGAATATTTCCTACTATGCAGCAACTATTAATTGTGCCTTAACCCATGTGGGCAGAATAGTTGTGAGAGGAAAATTAATTTCCCGGGAATGACTTTCTGCGCATGGGATGGGCTGGGATCTGCAGGTTTTTGGTAAGGTACGATTTTTCTTATTCTGCCCAGAGAAGGTGTGCATATCCCTTCGAGTAGGATGTCAAATGGAGGCATGTAGTCAGGGCAGGTATTGAGTAATTAGACTCTGAGCCTCTGAATTGCCTTGGGGAGTGTTGCAAAAAGTGGAAAGGCAGGTCCTGATCGCTGCGGGGGAAAGTGACTTCCTGGCTCTGGTTCAGAGATCCCTTCTAGAGAAGAAACTGGAACGAGGTCTCATGATGGGTGACCCAGGCAGGGCTCTGACTGTTGAGTCAAAGGACTGGGTGAAGATTCCATTTCCCCAGCTCTATCTTCTGTCTGCCCAGCCAATCTGCCTGGCTGTTCAACTCCCCTTTAATGTAGAGAGCTTAAAGAGACAGAAGGTTGTTTTCTGCCCATGAATGTAGGAGGTTGGATTCCTGTAGGATGGCTGCGGATCTGGTGCATCCGTGTTTGCTGACAGAAGCTACTGCTGCTATGGTGTCAGACATCACTATTTAAAGGGATTCCTGATTGATTGAGGCCGTTGGATTCAGTGTTGAAGCTCCTTGTCCATTCATGATCCTTAGATGGATTTGTTCCCTGAATGGGCTCCCCATGCTTTGAGACCGGCGTTGGTTGTCACCACCGTTCTCTCCGGCTCTGCCAACGTGTGGTCTGCTGCGTAGCTGAGTTGCAGCCACCAGGATAGAGATTTCAATACTGCTTTGGGCAACGAGATTAAGGTAGATAGAGTTGATGGGTCCTCTGGATCCAGAGAAATCAGGAACTAGAGAATACAGGTGGAATCTTGCCCATTGCAGGACATCTGTGCAGGATACCATCATATCGAGAGATGATATCAGAACCCTTGTAATAAAGTTGAGTGATTGCTGGGGGATAGTATCTATCATCCTGCATATCCGGTCTGTTAGAAAAACTTGGTGTAGCTCAGTCTCTCTCATGACTTCCAAGTGTAACTTGCGCTGAACTGGACTCATTTGGCTGTCTGTATGGTGGATAACGAAGCCATGCTGCTCTAGAACTTGTGCTCATTCCAAGGAGTGGGACCTGATCAGAAGACCATCCAGGAAGTGATATGCATGCACCCTCCTCTCTGAGAGGTTGGGATAACTTGCACCTGGGTAAATAGCCTGGGGGTGTTTGCAAGGTAATCTATAGCCATCTTCATGCAGCTGTGTTTCATCTAGTTGGGGAAAGTTTGGGAGATCAGGAACCTAGGTTTGGGACTCGCCTTTGACTCTTAATGCATAACCCAGACAGACTCCATCCAGGACTCGTTTGTCTGACATGGTGTGGATGCAGCCAGCTGCAGATTTTTGTCGCCTGCTCCCATTCTGAGTGACCATGTCATGGGGTCAGCCCCAGGTCACGTTTGATTAAAAATTGGGGTTTTCCAGAGGATCACGACTGCCCCTTGTGCCCCTGGACCTATTCCATCTGCCAAGGGCTGGTTGGGTGTCCCTCCACAGATACTTAGAATAGGTACAAAAGGAGTAATGTGATCTGTAATAAATAAGGCCTACATTCTCTTTTTGAGGACCTGGATGTCAGGAAAGTCATCTTTGATTTTATTTAGAGGATCCTGCTGTGGATTTGTCAACAGGCTCACTGAAGAGCTTTGGCCAGTGTCATAACCATAAAGGGGAAGGTAACAGCCCTCCTGTGTACAATACTATAAAATCCCTCCTGGCCAGAGACTCCAAAATCCTTTTACCTGTAAAAGGTTAAGAAACTCAGGTAACCTGGCGGACACCTGACCCAAAGGACCAATAAGGGGACAAGATAGTTTCAAATCTTGGTGGGGGGAAGGCTTTTGTTCTTGTTTTTTCTTTTGGGTGTTGTTCGCTCTTGGGACTGAGAGGGACCAGACATCAATCCAGGCTCTCCAAGTCTTTCTGAACAAGTCTCTCATATTTCAAACTTGTAAGTAAACAGCCAGGCAAGGCGTGTTAGTTTTATCTTTGTTTTCTCACCTTGTAAATGTACCTTTTACTAGGGTGTTTACCTCTGTTTGCTGTAACTTTGAACCTAAGGCTAGAGGGGATTCCTCTGGGCTCTAAGTTTGATTACCCTGTAAAGTTATTTTCCATCCTGATTTTACAAAGATGATTTTTACCTTTTTCTTTAATTAAAAGCCTTCTTTTTAAGAACCTGATGGATCTAAAAAACAGGGAAAATCAAAGGGGTTTGGATCTTGATCCACCAGGAGTTGGTGGGAGAAAGGATGGGGGGAATGGTTAATTCCTCCTTGTTTTAAGATCCAAGGGGGTTGGATCTGTATTCACCAGGGAATTGGTGAAGAGTCTCTCAAGGCTACCCAGGGAAGGGACTTAGCACCTTGGGAGTGGTGGCAGCGGACCAGATCTAAGCTGGTAGTTAAGCTTAGAAGTTTCATGCAGGCCC